TTTTTTTTTTTTTTGTCATGTGCAGTTGAATCGCGTAAAAGACAGGCTTAAACAGAGGAACATCAATTTGCATTTCACGGAGGAAGCCGTTAAGATTCTGGGAGCTTTAGGTTTCGACCCCAATTTTGGAGCAAGGCCCGTGAAAAGGGTGATACAGCAGATGGTCGAAAACGAGATTGCAATGGGGATATTAAGAGGGGATATTAAGGAAGAAGACACGATTATACTCGATCAGATACCAGGTGCCGATGATGCCCCAGCTCAAAATAGGTTGTCCATAAGGAAAGTGGATGATAGTACAGCCATGGACACCATGGTTGTAAATGACTAGTGTGTGTTTACCTCGTAGTGTAGTTGAACTGCACACATCTACTTTGTTGTTTCTGTTATGTACACAAAAATAAGGCAAAATAGCTAGTTATATATCACGACTTTTTGCTATATTGTTAAAATATTACGACTTATTTTTTGACCTTGGTGGAGAGTATCATAACTTTTGATTTTTTTGCAAAACGATACGAAGTCGGAAACCGGCCATCGTTGATACACCATGGGGGAAGATTTGTAACTATTGGGACAATAAGGAGTATTTCGGAGGTGATGATACTTTCAGACTTCCGTGAAATGATTTTAAATAATGTAACGATGGTCGGTTTTTGACTTTCGTGTATCGTTTTGCAAAGAAATCAAAAGTTATGATATTCTCCGCCAAAGTTTAAAAGTCGTGATGTTTTAGCAATATGGAAAAAGTTGTGATATAACGAGCTGTTTTGCCCAAAAATAACTTATCTTTTGAGGATTTGCTCCTTTTTGTCCAGGTAAGTTCAAGCATGCTTGTTTATAATTTTTTTGGGTTTTGATTGGGTTGTTTGGTTTGAGTTGGTTAAATTTGAAAAAGTTGGTATGGTTAATTGTTAGTGAGTATATTAAAATAATTTTTAAAATACAATAATTAAAATTAAATTGATGTAAAAGTAGGAGAGAGAAGATGTGATGTGATGGTTAGTTAAAATTATGTGAGTAGATGAATAGTAAATTAAGGTTGATGTTATGTGTAAGAATGATTGATTGATATTATTTAATTATATTAATAATATTGATGATAGTGAATTGATTGATTGATATTATTTAATTATATTGATGATAGTGTGTTGAGTTAAAGTTGAGTTAAAAAATATGGTTGAGTTAAAAATGATTGAATTTTTTTGGATTGAATTTATCTTTTTAAAATAACACAATATATCTTTTTTAAGGTTGCAAATACATTTGGTTTCTTTTCATAAATATCCTTTTTATTTTTTTCTGTCTTTTTCTTCTTTTATCCCTTTTACCCCAAATAAGCAAATATCATGAATTTATTTTTATAATCTTGATTTTATAAATAATTGTATCACACAAGGAACACAGTAGCAAAAGGGCACAGAGGTGGTGGAAATTGGAAATTCACCATTTTCAAGAGATATCTAAGAGAGAAAAAAAAATGTATTAATGCCCACACGTGCTCTGTAGGTTGCTAGAGATTGTTTCAACCACCTCTAGAGGTTAAGCCGTGGCTCCTTCACGACGTTGTTGGCGTCGCTCGATTACGGAATATCACCGTTTAGAGGTCCCTTAGGCTTTGACCTCTGTCTTATGTACCCAAAAAAAAAAAAAATGTATTAATGCAATTTTTTAAAGATCTACTATAAAAAAATATAAAAATTGAAATGATAAAAGGGTAGCATAATTCATATATTGACATGATATTTATATTTAGTAAATGTGAAAATTGAGTAACCTTTTTATTATAATTATTATAAAGATGTCGCATTTATCTGCGGATTCACTCAATTTTTGGAATTGTACTCATGTGATTTTTCAAAGTTCTTATTGAAAAATATAGGAATTTACGTAAAATTCAATGTGAAATTCCAAAATTTGTAAAGCTTTAAAGTGTTTACATAGATATCTTAAGATTTATTATAAAAGGAATCTCGAGTCGATATTCAATTCTTATATAGATATTTAAAAAGTCTAAAAAAATCCGAAGTATCCAAATGTTGTAAAATTTTCAAACGTTGATTGGTAATCATATACTTAACAGTTTTGAAATTTGTCATTTAATTTCAACTTATCTATAATTTAGAAATTGAACTTAGAATTTTTCGTTTTCACCTCGTTTACTTGAAAGCACCTACTAATATTTATAATATGTATATAATATTTCAGTTAATTTTTTGACTTTTCAGGAAAAACGCTAAATATAAAAAGTTACGTCGCATTTTTTTTTTTTT